TATTGAATCTGGCGCCATTCCGAAGAATGTCGCCATTTTTAATTTTAACAATTGTTTCTTGGCAACACCGGATGTTAGGGTATTTCGCATTTGTATACCACCTGAAATCATTTCCGGTTGTTGCCCGCTGAAACGGCCCAAAGATTGTACGCCATACGCCATTATTGCATAGTGACGCTACGGCGTATTATTCCATACGTTTCTTTGGATTTTTGCTACTTTTCAACACATTTATACATATCTGAAATTCTACAATGAGTGACATTGAGGTAATCTTTACACTTTTCTTCAAAAATAAATTTTTTAACTAAAATTTTGTGGCGCAATACTTTTGTAACGACATGCGGCTGTCCACAGCCATTATTGATCCATCAACGTTTAACTACATATTTCGTATATGTTACGACCTAAAGTATTTTATATCAATTTTCAGTACTTCATAAATTGTATATTTAATTGTAAAAATATTTGTACTTTCGTTTTTGTACTATAATTTATTGTATGTTAGAAATTAACTATTTTAGTAATTGAAAGGTTAAGCTTATTCTGACTGAGTTTTCGGTGTTTAGAAAAAAGTTGAATATCGTTCTATGCATATTGCAATAAATTATTTTTTAAAAATATGTATATATGAACGCATGTTTCTTCATGATATTGATAAAATGACTATTGTTTCTTCTTTCTTTATAATGGTATTATCATATTACGAATCTCTTTCACTTACTGGATACCTATAAAGAGTGTATTAAGAGACGAAATTCTTATCAATTCATGAAGTAAAATAAATGTAAATTTATAATAATTCTGTTTGTAGCGAAGTGGTAGCCGTAGTGCAAGTCCTAGACGACCAAGAACAGCGGATGGAGGTTTAAGAGACTCGCGTTCACATTCAAGATCTCGCAAATCTCGTGAACGTAAAGAATCCCATAGGCCAGTAAAAGAATATTCAAGATCAAGAAGTCGCTCTGTGTCAAGGGGAAGAAAGTCATATCGCAGCAGCAAATATGCTAGTGCAGGTCATCGTGGTAGTAGTCGCAGTCGCAGTCGTTCTCCTTATAGGGGTGGGCGATACTCTCGTAGCAGATCACGTTCCTACTCTCGCTCCCGTTATTCTCGGGAACGTGACAGGAACATTTACCGTTCACACTCTCGTAGTCCAATGTCATCTAGACGAAGACACGTTGGTAACAGGGACAATCCATGTCCTTCTCGATGCTTAGGTGTATTTGGACTTTCTATTTTCACGACTGAGCAGCAAATACATCACATATTTTCAAAGTATGGACCTGTTGAACGAGTACAAGTTGTAATTGATGCTAAGGTACTTAAATATCAAATTATAAATTTGATACTTGTTATATATGTTTTTCTAAGAAAACATGAGAAACATTAAGTAATAATAAAACCCCATAATAATTTAACAAGGGGAATAGTAAATAGTTCCAGAGATTTAGAACATTCATGAATTAAGTTTATGTTGAATGTTAAAGGCCTCTGGTTACATGTTCTATTAATTTTATCACTATAAAGAATAGGATAATTAATAATTAGTATGGTAGTAATATATACGCGCGAGTATAGATAAAAAATAATATATGAGTATCTTTTTTTTTTAGACTGGACGTTCTAGAGGATTCTGCTTTGTATATTTTGAATCATCTGAAGATGCAAAAGTAGCCAAAGAACAATGCACGGGAATGGAAATTGATGGCCGAAGAATAAGAGTAGATTTTTCAATCACGCAACGAGCTCACACACCCACGCCTGGAATTTATATGGGAAAACCTACACACCTACATGATAGAGGATGGGATGGGCCTAGGCGTAGAGAGTTAGTTGATTTTTCTTCAATTCTTCTTGTAGCAATACAATTTGTAAAAAAAGTAGTAGAAAAATGTTCATATTATTATGTTTAATTATAGCAGCAGTTACAGGGGAAGCTATCGACGTTCACCAAGTCCGTACTACAGTCGCCGACGTTCACGCTACGACAGATCCAGATCGCGCTCGTATTCACCACGTAAGTTTATTTCTTTTTCTTCGGCACCGCCTAATATAAGCAGTCTACATGGATATGTGTCTCCTTTGAAATAACATTTATGTTTTCAAGCCATACAATTAACTCTCCTTATTTAGGAAAATACAGTACCAAAAACTCATTGATTTGATATTGTATAATTCGCCAAAATTTACAATACCAACCATGCATAAAAGTTTTAATTTTTTATAATTCTGTTTAATAATACAATTCTGAAGTAAATCACATTGAGTGCAGTTAAATTACATGTATTAATGTTACGTAAATTCTAAATGATATGTTTGCCAAAATCATTATGAAGATATAATAATAAATTCAACAACTCTCTATTATAATGAGATGGAAAATTGTTTACTTTCGATACATGTATTTTGTACTCAAGTGCTTTTATAAACAAGGACTTTTTATATGTGAATGAAAAAGAAATCCACGAGATTATATTCCATAAGAACATATCATTTTTAATACTATTCTTCATTCATCATTAAGTTTGTCCACTGAAGTGTGCATGAATGTTTCTCATATATGCATTAGATATAAACGATGAAAATCAATCAAGATGACATGCAAGAGAATGTGAAACGAAAGACATTGTATTCAATATTCTGTTATACTCGCACAATATTATGAACAATTACATATACCCACATATGATACTAAATAGTACTTATTCTGAATTCGAAATACCATAATATAAATATTTGTGAACTCAATCGTTAATAAAAGTAATTCTTAATCTGGATTCATATTTTCGTAGACCGCTTATATTTAGTTCAAACATGATGTTTAAGTACAAATAAGTAGTTAAATTAGCAAGAATGGAAGACAGGAGCATCAAGAAATGCATCCAATAAATCGTACGGTAGTAACTAAGTGTAACCCATATAACCTGGGTCAAACAATCATAGTTTTTGTTGCTTAATGAATTTCAGGTCGGTATTAAGTGACACGAGTGTGATGCGAGAGGCCAGGTGTTTGGGAGACCATTTGTGTGACTTGACCCTTTGACCTCAAATTTCTTCTAACAATACTGTACCGGGTCAAAAATGCAAAAACTACATTCTCACTACTGTTCTTACCTTACCTAATTCTGCATCATATGCAATTAATATATGGCATTTAAATTACGATATTGTACAATATCAATTAATGAGATAACATAATAATATGCAAAGGAGTGTAGCATATTCTTTACATGAAAACAGTAAGGTTAGAATGGATTCGGAAACCTTATTTTCATAATATTTCTACCATTTCCTAATAGTTTTATGAAGATAAGGTTTACGTTATTGTAACCATAATGACTATAAATGTGAAGGTTGGAATATAATTGAGTTTCTATTTTCCTTTGACAATTTTATTATAAAGTTGTATTCCAGCCATTTGAACATAAAATATCGCTTTAAAAATTACGTGAATTTGGAAAATGTGGTATTCCTTAATGTTGTTTATATGCAAAAAGAAACAGAGATATATAAAAGTAAAGGAAAACGAAACACATTACACACAGAAAAGAACGAAAAAAAAACAAAAATAAAATTAGGAAGTAGAAGTAAGTTCTCTAACCTGTTTGTTTGTTTATAAGGTTTTGAATCAAGAGGTATTGGATGATAGAGGGAAGTTTGAAGTTTCACTCTGAAAAAATGAAAGTTTTGAAAAGTCGAAGACAAGATATCTGAAGATGTTTGTCTTGCTCGAATTTCGAAGATCCAAAGGTTTTTCGCGCTTGTGACAAAGAATATGATCCGAATCGCATTCATTTCCGGCTGAGAAGTCTCAAGCCTAGAAGAACTGCAAGCACTCTGTAAAAAGCAAGCCTCAAGACAGTAAGAAATCGTTGATCGTCAGGCCCCCGACCTGGGACAAGCCAGTGGTTGGGGGTGAAACTGGCCGAACGTTTCAGAAAATGTTCAAGAAGCATCGAAATCTTTTATAAGTAGGGAAGAGCGTAAGGTGCTCCAAGGTTTATACCGATCATATTCTTTATCAGTTGGTTTAGTTACATGGTATATTCGTAATTAGGTGTTATAAAATAAATAAACGTATATACCTTTACCCTTATTCCCTCCACCATCCCAAAACCTCCTGCATCCTTTAAAGAGTGATGTCCTATTGTTTTCATTTTGTATAGGATTAAGCAGCGATAATTCATATTGAAACAGCTAATAAACCGTGTTTTTAATAGAAATGATTAATTATTTCGAACTTATTTTGCGTTATAAGGAAATTAAAATAACTTAAGTAAAAGTTGATGAAATATTTTAAATACAGCATCAATTTTCTAATATCATTGTTTGTACAATTATAATGAAATGTTTATACAAAATTTAATTTTATGCCCTCATTGATTTTTGATGAACTAACAATTTTAATTATTTATAGTGCAACATATTTTTTTAATGTTTGTAACGTTAATGAAAGACTTAAATGGATTAAACAATTTTTATGTAGTTCGTTTTTTCAAAATGTACATATTGCAGTTCGTATTCTTCATGAAAATGAATCCGGTTATATTCAGCTACTCTCATAGAAATGGGGACTTATTAGTTCTTGTATGTGTACATATTGAAACACCATCCGCGCGAATAAAAGTCGCGAAAACATGGAATACTTCGACGTTGGTTTATTCTTAAAAGTGTATTTAATCACTATAATAACAGTGAATTCTAATGCTGCTTCTATTAAAGAACCTCATGAAAGTCAAATTCTGACACAAGGATTATACAATGCCAGTGATAACGTAGTTATTTTAAATATGACTAATTTTAAGTCGTCTGTTTACGGGGACAATAAAGGATGGTTAGTCGAATTTTACAATAGTTGGTGCGGCTTTTGTTTTCGATTTGCACCTTTGTGGAAAGCTTTTGCAAATGACGTTTACGGTAAATATAATAACCGTTCTCAAACATAAGTTTATAAAGCATCTAATGATAAATATTTAATATTTGTGTACAAAATCATATATATGTTGCTTTAAAAAGTTACTCAAATTCTTATGTATTTATTAATTGACGATTCCTAGATATCTAATGATTTGAGACAAAATTGCGTATTTAATACAGCCATGATGCACATATATATATATATGTTAGAATGCAGAATAGAGTTTCTTATTTCATTTTTGTCGTAATTAATTTCTTAATACTTCTTTGTCTTTCGGTTTCGTAAAATACACTATTTGAAATGAACATTTGTGTAAATATCTGTTCTGTATACATAGCGTGACTCTTTTTTTATCCGTATCAGTTTTGTTTACTTGTGGATAGGGTTATTATGGGTCATTATACATATTACCATAAATTTTTATTATTTTATCGACTATTAAATAAATAGTTTTTAAATAATTATTTATTATTACTTTATTTATGTGTTAAATGAGCAATATGTTATGTACATTATGTTAATTAAAGTATGCAAAATTAAACATATGTTACAAGTATCTTATTTTAGTTGATCTTTTTAGCATGGAAAGATATTGTGGTAGTAGCTGCAATAGATTGTGCAGATGATGGTAACAACCCAATCTGTCGTGAATATGAAATTATGCATTATCCGATGCTTAAATATTTTTCTGTCAATGCACATAAATCATCAATGGGATTGGTGATGGAAAAGTATGATAGCGTTGATGAACTAAGACACAGTTTAATTAATTTGTTAGAAAATGAACAACAAGAAGGGCGTGGTATTTCATGGCCAAATATTGCACCATACAGGTATGTTAATACATATATCTTTAAATCTATATTCATGGTTTTAAAATTCATTCTTTGTTTAATGTCGCAGAAATTATGAAATTACAAATATTTGGACAACTGTACCACATACCACGAAGTACTTTTTCTTACTCTTTGAGAAAACAGATTCACATTTAGGAACTGAAGCTATATTAGACATGCATAAAATGCCAATATTACAGATAAGACGAGTTACATCTGAAAATGAAATATTATGTGAGACTAACAAAATTACCAATTTTCCAAGTTTAATAGTTTTTTCTCGTAATGAGACACAGAAGTCTCTTAAAATCAGAGTACCTACAAGAGAGGGCACATATAATACTATTATGCAATATATGATTTCCAAGGGAGAAAATATTAATGAACAAAGTCTTACAAAAATTTATTCGACAGAGATAAATCATAAATCAACAAGTACTCCTACTCCAAAGCAATCACAGGAAACAGAAAAACCAAAAAGTACAGAGATAACTGGTGATTATATGTATCAATTGGATTTAGAGAACACTTTGAAATATTCCATCAGTCATGAAATTCCACTACATAAAATAATAAATGGGGAGAAAATGGATGCACTAAAAAAGTATTTAGATCTGTTAGCTGATTTTTTCCCACTAAGATATGACAATATCTTCCTAGAAACGGTTCGTGACATTATAAAAAGGAGAGATAATATATCTGGTGAAGAGTTTAGTCAAATAATAAAATCTACTGAAGAAGAGATGTCGCCTGTATACTCTGGGCCTGCAGAGTGGGTTGGTTGTAAAGGAAGCAAAGAAGGTTATCGTGGTTATACTTGTGGTCTTTGGACAATGTTTCATATGTTAACAGTTAACTATGCTATTGAAAATAGAGATGCTAAACATGAACCAAGAAGGGTATTAGAAGTCATGCACGGATATATAAAACATTTTTTTGGATGTGCTGATTGCTCTCAGCATTTCATTGAAATGGCTACAAGAAATAAAATGTTTGAGGTATCTAATATGACTGATAGTATTTTATGGTTATGGTCTGCTCACAATGAAGTAAATGCAAGATTATCGGGTGATGATACAGAAGATCCAAAACATAAAAAGATACAGTATCCTGCAATAGAGCAGTGTTCAAATTGTAGATACGAGAATGGTA